CCCTCCCCCCCCCTTCTTTTTCTCCCTCCGCTTCTCCTTCTTTTTCTTTTCCTCCTTCTTTTTTCCCCTCCTAGTTGTTTTTCCTCCCCTCCTTGTTTTTTCCCCTTTCTTTCTTTTTTCCCCTTCTTCCTCTCCCCTCCTTTCCTCCTCCTCCTTTTCTCCTCCCTTCTTCTTCTCCTCCTTCTTTTTCCCTCCTCCTTTTCTCCCCCATTTTCCCTTTCTTCTTCTTTTTTCCCTTCTCCCCCTCCTTCTTTTTCCCCTTTTCTTTTCCCCTTTTTCTTCTCCTGCTCCTCCTCCTCTTCCCCTTTTTCTTCTTCCCCTCCTTTTTCTTTTTCTACTCTTCTTCTTCTTCTTCTCCTCCTCCCCCTCCTTTTCCCCTTTTCCTTTTCTTCTTTTTCTTCTCCTTTTTCTTCTTCTTCCTTCTTCTTCTTCTTTCTTCTTCTCTTTTTTCTCTCCTCCTCCCCCTTCTTCTATCCATCCTTCTCCTCCTTCTTTTTCTTCTTCTTCTCCTCTTCTCCTCCTTCCCCTCCTCCTTGTTCTTCTCATTCTCCTCCTATTGTTCTTCTCCTTTTTCCTCTCCTTTTTCTTCTCCTTTTTCCCCTCTCCCCCTTTTACCCCTTTTCTTCTTCCTTCTTCCTCTCCTTCTCTTCCCCTCCTCCTTTTCCTCTCCTTATCCCCTCCTCCTCCTCCTCCTTTTCTTCTTCTTTTTCCCTCGTCCTCCTCCTCCTTCTTCTCATCCTCCCCCTTTCCCCTCCCCTTCTTCTTCCCCTTCTTCTTTCCTTCTTCCCCTCCTTTCCTTTGTTCTTCTTCCCTCCCCCCTTGTTTTCCTTTTTCCCTTTCCCCTTTTTTCTACTTTTCTCTTCTTCTTCCCCTTTCCCTTTCTTCCCTCCTTCTCCTTTTTCCCTTTTCTTCTTCTTTTTCCCTTTTCTTCTTTTTCTTCTTCTCCTTTTTCTCCCCCTCTTCTTCGCTCCTTCTTTTTTTTCCCCTTTCCTTCTTGTCCCCCTTTCTTCTTTTTCTTTACTTCCATAATCCAAAACTTTCTGGGACCAATAAATACTTTGTTTTTAAATTCCAAGACAATAGTAAATGTCCAAAGGGCAGGGAAAATGTCCACCTGTCAATGCTTTGTGACAATGTGAGTACATTTCAGTACCTAATACAGTGTCAAACAAAGTTTGGTTATTAAATTACAAGGTATGATTAATTGAAATTAACAGAACTAAAAATTAAAAAAAATAAATGAAAAAAAAAAAAAAAGGTTTTAGCAACATTTCTGCAAGTGACAGGACTCGATGTTGCTGTCACGTGGCTCCAGTGCCAATCTCAGCCTCATATCTCTGTAAGTACTGACCCTAATTTTTTTTTATCCTATAACACTTAGAAAAATGTGCTCTTTTTTTTTCATTAAAAAAAAAAAATTTTTTGTTATTTTTCAAAATATTCTGGGCACTGGGGTAGTGAATATATATATACGTTTGGGCCATTTATGGGTTAAACTGTCCAAACGTAGATCTATGTTCACTCGCGTAGTGCTTGATGTTACATGCTTTCTTATGTAAAAAAAAAAGTAGATCTATGTTCGGAGTGCTTTGCGAGTGAACACAGATCTACGTTTGGACAGTTGACAGGTTAATTATGCAATGTTGGGTGAGGTGGATTCAATTATTATATATATCAGGCCATGGAGTGCCTGGGGAATGGGAGACATTCGGGTTTTTAAATCCAAATCCTTGGATCAAGAGCCCTTCACTTATATCAAAGAACCCTCTTCTCTTCAAGGTTCTTTTTATAAAGAAAAAGTTATTAGGATAAAAACAAAGAAGTATATATTAAGATGTATCGACTGATATTTTGCAAATAAAACAAATACAGTACTAGATATTTTTCAAACATACCATAAAGAAAATATTTGGGGTTTTATCATATACAGTGGACCCTCGCATAACGCTATTAATCCGTTCCTGAGAGCTCAATGTTAGGCGAGGGCCCACTGTACACTGGTACCTCGAATTTGTTCCCATAAGGAATAAATAAAGTAGATTAGGCCCCTTTCAGACACAAAGCATTGCAAAAATACACTTATATAATTGTTCAAGTTGGGAGCTGTTCGAAATTTGAGGTACCACTGTATATGCAACAATGGTACCACTGTATATGCAACAATGGTACCACTGTATATGCAACAATGGTACCACTGTATATGCAACAATGGTACCACTGTATATGCAACAATGGTACCACTGTATATGCAATATGGAAGAGGAAACCCTAGACATATTTAGTGTAATTAATTGTGGTGAAAACTTCAGACCATCTAAACTACTGCGGGTTTTACAATACACTTGAATTTGGGTATAAAAAATTTATTTAGAAAAATAAATACCTTTTTTTCTAGTATATTACTAGTTTTGAATAAAAATTATTTTTAACCTTCAGTCAAACACTTAACCTTTAATTTGGATATAAGAAGAAAAATAGACCTTTTTTTCACATATTTACAACTAAAATTTTTAAGATCCTCAAATAAATATATTTTCAATAGTCAGTTTAATATTCACTAAACCATCTATCAGAACTTTAACATTTAGACAATACT